CAAATAATCTTACCAGCTATATTTTCTTGTTAAACCATAAGACCACACAGCAGCCAATAAAATTTCAACAGTTGAATAAATTCAATATTAAATTGCAACAAACCGAAAAAAAGTAACATAAATTTCCAACAACCATATCTCCCTCGATTTTGAGTTCAAAACGTAATCCATATTTAAAAGCAACAAAAAAAAGGCCGTAAAAACCCCAAAAAACAAAGCAATCATTTTTTAGTTCAAATTTGCTACAAAACTCGTTGGCCATCACAAAATTAAAAAAGCTAAATTTGTAATTAAAAAAATGCTCTTACTAGCCCAAAAAGAAATGAAACGTGAGAACAAAATCAGAAAAAGGGTTCTGAAATTTACTTACAGAAAGAGGGAGATGAGAGGGATTGGAGTTTGAGGGGTGAGGAACTTGAGGGACATTTTGAAGGGACTTAAAGCTGGGGAAAATTGGAAATTGGGCAGTGGATTTGTTGAGTAAATTAGGAGAAATGTGGAGGGTCCGTATGGAAATTGAGGCGGGATTTCGGGCTTTGCTGAGTAATGCAGTGCCGAAGCCAGTGACCGGAGCTTTGAGCACCATCTTTGCATCGTCGTCTCTCAGGCCTCACTGTGTGCCCGTGAGTGTCTTCTACTGTGTGTTTTTCTTGGGCTTTCTGCTGGGGTTTTGTGGTTGAATTGGGGGTTTCTTCAATGGACCCACCTAAAACAAGTGGAGACTGGGGAGGCTAATTGATCAGAATATAGACGAAAAAAAAAAAGGTCAGACAACTACGGTTCTGACATGGGGTTTGTATAAATTTATGGGTGCCGGGCTGTGTCAGTCCGGCACCTAACACACCAAATTTTTTTTAAAAATTTTTTTGATCAAGAGTGCCGGGCTGACAGCTTTTGAAAAAAAACTTCATTGTCAGGTGCCGGCCTGTATCAGCCCGGTACCTGACAGCTTTTTAAAACTAATTCAATTTTCTGTCTTCTAATTCAATTGTTAAGAAGCCGCAGAGTTTTTGTATTTATGAGATGTCGACTAATAAGTGGTGCTTCTTAGCTGGTGGAATCTCACCTTAACATCCCATGGCTACGCATCAAAAAAAAAGCCGTGGCTAGCCACGGACAAAAAAACAAAAGCTGCAATGGATTATTTAGTTGAATTAGTTTAATGATAAAATTAGTTTGAGTAGTTTAATTAGTTGTTTAATGGATTAATTAAATTAGTTTAACTAAAATTGATGTATTTAGCATAACTTAAGTATAGATATTAGTGTTATTAGTTTAATACAATTTACTTTATTATGCAAATTAGTTGATAATTAGTTTATGTTATTTAGTAAACAATTATTTGAATTAGTTTAGTCGATTAATTAGTTGAATTAATTGTGGAATTAGTTAAATTTAAGAGGTTCGGTTAAATGAATTTAGATGTATTTGGCGAGGTTAGTTTATGTTATTTAGTATATGTTATTAGTTTAATTAGTTTAAATGAATTTCGATTAAATGAATTTAAATGAATTAGTTTATGTTGTTTAGTATATGATTAGTTTAATTAGCCAATAGGATATATTAGTTTAATTAATTGAATTAATTAATTTTAAGAGGTCCGATTAAATGAATTTAGATGTATTTGGCGAGATTAATTAATTGAATGGATTAATTGAATGAATTTGTGCAATTGAGTTTTGATTAAGATAACCATTTAGTCGGGCAATTGAAGTATTTGAAATAATACCCATGCTAATATAATAAATACATAAAATTAATGTAATTAGCATAGCTTAATTTCGAAACTAGTGATATTAGTTTAATGCAATTCACTTTATTTGTTAAGTTAGTTGATAATTAGTTTATGTTATTTGGTAAACAATTAATTTAATTAGTGTAGTGGATTAATTAGTTTAATTAGTTGTGGAATTAGTTAAATTTAAGAGGTTCAATCAAATGCATTTAAATGGATTGTAAGTTATTTGGGATATTTTTACTATAACACTTTTTGTGATGTGATGTATGTGAGATAAAAGGTAATTGGGAAGATAAAAAGGTGTATTGAAAATTGTAATGATGTTGTAAACAAATAAAATTGGAGAAATAATGCTCAATCCAAAATATTATAAAAATTTTTGTCAAGATGCCTTGACCCAAAAATTTTTTTTTTTCACCTTTTGCGTGTTTGTAAAAGTTGAATGTCAAATGTGTTTTTTTTTTTTTTTTTTCTATACCGATTCAAATTTTGACTCATACTTATAGCAAAAGTTACAAGCACCATTCTCATTGATCTAAACTAAAATAAGCCCAGCTAGTAATTTTGTTTACTTTTCCTATTTACCTCTTTTTTTTTGCTGTGTATAATTTCCGGCTACCCCGTTTCCTGAATCAGCAGCAACATATGCAACTTGAGTTGGAATCCGTCAATACTTAGTTATAATAATATTGAACTCTGCAAGGGTACATACTAGATTCAATTCCATGCCAATTTTGACACTTTCTTTGTCAAATTTTTTATTTTGGTTCACCTTTATCAGATTATATAGTGCCCTATTCAAATTAATCTTCATGCAACACAACTTTTCGGGTCTCTCTCTTTCTCAACCAAAACACAAAATGGATATCTTTGGTTTGGGATGCTTTGATGGCGCCGAGCTGTGACAACTTAAAAAAAAAAATAGTGGTGTCAGGTACCGGGCTGACACAGCCCGGCACCTATAGATATATACAAATCCCATGTCAGAACCGTAGTTGTCTGACCTTTTTTTTTTCGTCTATATTCTGATCAATTAGCCGGAGACTGGAGAGGGTAGAATGGAAAATGAAGTTTGAAATTGGGGTTACTAATAAAACTTCTGAAATTTACAGAATTTACTATTTTAATAATGATAAAAAAAAACTTTAAGTTGGCAATCATCTAAGTGGAGGAATCAAATAGCCAATTGTAATATGCTTAATTCATGCTTTGCACATAGTTTGTACCAACTTGAAGGATACTAATAATGGCTTTGATTATAAACAAAGATTTCCAATTTTATGTGATTAATTTGGTTTATAAACTGACAAAATATGGAAAGTTCAATTTAGCCATAGAATGTGTGGGAATAGTTTTTAATTTAAGTGATTAATGGTTTTTTTGTTGCAACAGTAATATTTCTATAATTTAATCTATCCTAATTTAAGGGGAGTGGAGCTAATGGGAATTGAATCACCGAAAGAGGCGATGGAAGTTGAATCACTATAGGAAAAAACCACTAAAAACAGTCACATATAATGGCAAATTAGTGGGAGGCAAGGATAGCCTTGATCTCCCATGCCACCAAGACTTAATTGCTTGATGGTGATCACCAGTTCAAAGGAATGGTAGCGATTAGTGGTTTTGTTACTAGTCCACTATTGGGTTTAATTTAATTGAGAATCAAAAGTTTGAGTCAATTTTTAGGTTTCATAAAGATATCTAAATATTAAATAGAATTTATATTTTTGCAAAGATAAAATATCCTACTAACTTTTTTTGTTAATGCATTGTGATAATATGATTCTTACATCAGAAAAAACTATCAGTTATTTAGCATTGTAGAGTACCAAAGAAAAAAGAGTTAAGAATGTCCTACTAAGTTGAAGATTACTTTGGCATAATAGATTTAAAATTTTGGTTCCAAAAGAGTTGTATATATACCAATTTAGAAAGGAATACTAGTAATAAATAACCTTGCATGCTAACTAAATTGTGGCTCAATTTCATCCATATAAAACTCAAGCAAATTCTTACACACTTTAGCATAACTTAAGTTAAATGAGGTACTAAAAAATATAATTGACATTTGTCATCCAAAAACATCTTTCTTTAAAGAGAGCGAAAAATTCTGATTAATAGAGAGAATTGATCAATGGATTTAAAGACACGTATGAGGACAAATTACACAATGCTTTATCTACTTGTTTCCAAGGTAAACGAAGAAAGCGTTTCCATAGCTCTTTTTTCAAAGACTTGTTATTTGTAAACTCTTACTCCCTCCATCCCACTTTGATAGTTTTTGTTCTATTTTCACACAATTTAAGAAAAAATAGTTAATTTTGTTGGAATAATTAATCTAGGTAGATATTTTCCTAAAATACTCTCACATTAATTAGAGTACAACTTTATGGGAACTTGAATTGATAGTAAAAAAAGAATCAACTCTCATTAAATGGGGTAGGTTTATAGTAATAACAACTTACATTGAATAAGGGTATTTTAGAAAAATTAAAATACAACTAAATTGTTCAATTAGAAAATGGACTATAATTTGGGACAGACGAAAAAGGAAAACAGGACTATCAAAGTGGGACGGAGGGAGTAAAACATTCTTTAGTTAATTTTTATCTTATAAACAAGTTTATTTTAAATAATGATACAATATTATTTTTTTGAGTACGATTCAAAAAAGAATGAACAAAATATTTATTTCTAATTTGATATAATAAACACTGGTTTTTATACTCAATTTACACTGAATAACCGTTTAAAAGTATACATTTATATTTATTTCCTCCTCATGACTTCATTTTTTCAAAATATTAACACTATAATAATAAACTCGTAATTTTGACAAAAAAATAATAAGAAACTTGCAAAGATATTTTTATTTTAGGCCATTTCAAGTATCAAATTTAAAAAATTATATATTTTTTTGGTCAACACTGTGGGGTATCCGGAATCACCGACCAATTAAATTTAAAAAGTTATTTGACAAACAATTTTTTCCCCTAAATGCCAAGATTAATTGTCAAGTCAAATCAAGAGCTTTTTTTTTGGTGTTCTTGGGGTTTTGGGAGGGGGGTGTTGGTTGGATTTAATCATCTTTTTGTCGTATTAAGAAATGATTTGGCAACATTAGCAGCAAAAACTTGGGTAATTATTAACCTCAGCCATCAAATCCAATTCATAACCAACTGAAATCAAACACGTGGACATATTACTGATACAACTCTTTTGTATTAACTGCCTAATTCAGTTCCCGGGCTCACTTTCCTATCATTTCTTCAGTCATTGAGAATTTAAGACACTAATAATTAATAAAAACATGAGCCCCTTCCCCAGCCTATAACAAGAGAGTTTCAGATATAGAACTAGAAATTCCAACGTACGGAATATACAGAGAAGTTGAAAGAAAGCACAAAAAGGAAGGCAAAGGAAAATACACTGCTCTAGTGGTGGCCGGTGGGACTAGACTGGTGCTGCTGGTGTTGCTTTGCAGAGGCTTTCTTTTTGAAAGAAAGAAAATCCCTACCTTCTTTTCCCCTACCATTTGGGGTCATATCTTTCAAGTAAGCTGCTTCTTTTAACTTTATAAATATGCATTTTCAGCATTTTTGCTTCAATTTCGCATCGACCCAGATCCAGAAAATGGCTTATTTTTCTGTTCTCCAAGTGTGATTTGTAGATATTTGTAGGTAACGAAAATTTTTGGTTTGTTGGCAGGGGCGGAGCCAGAAAAAATTCTTAGTGGGGGCAAAAATAACACTAAAATTTTTTACCTACTCTTTTTCTAATTTTTTAAGCAAAAAAAAAAAAATATACCAACAAGTACAAATGATGTATATATTTCATGAAAAACAAAAAAGATAAATTCAAAATTATTAATATAATAATAATTTTATTTCAAACACAAACTAAACTATTTACAATTGCTCACTACGAGTTTTTATATTTTGATAACTGATTTGGTTGTGGAAGTAAGAATGGCTCTCGGTTGTGGAGGAAAAATGGGGATCAATGGAGGGAAGGAAAATTGGGAAGTAGGGACAAAGGAAGTGAATGATATGATTGGATGAATTGATCAAGAGAAAGAGTAGTTAGCTGTTTGGTTGTAGAAGGTAGTGGCTCTCAGTTGTGGGGAAAAATGGGGGATCAGAGGAGGGAAGGGAAATTGGGGAGTGGGGCCCAAAGAAAGTGAATGATATGATTGGTACCTGCTAGTTAAAATGAAAAGGCTTTTTTTAGCTTATTTCAAATGTAATTTGTGCCCCACGTATCTTTTAGAATTTTAGTTTAGGAACTAACTTAAAAAATCACGTAATTCTTTCACATCCTTTCTAAAAAAATTTTGGGGGCACACTTAAAATTATATATTAAAATTATATAAGTATTATAGAATTTTAAGGGGAGCAGTGGGGGTCGTGCCCCCAGTGCCCCCACCTTAAATCCGCCCCTGTTTGTTGGTTCTTGTTTTTGTGCTGAGAAATTCAGTTTTGGGGGGCTTTTAAGGGGTTTCTTGAGAAAGTTGTAATCTTTGCTGTAGCCTCTATGATTTGCATTATTAATGTGTTGGTGTTAGAAGGTTGAAAATGAGCAAAAAGGAGGTTTTTTCTCTTTGTAACGATAACTGATAGTTAGGAGAAGATGATGGTATTGCAGTGATAGTAGATTCTGCATTTTCTTTTTTAGTTATAATTACCAATGGATATATATCTATGTAGTTGTTAAAAATGTGACAATTTGATTAAGTTGGGAGTAATGGTGGTTCGAAATATCTATTCTTTCTGTGGTGAAATGAGTTTGATGTTGTACTTCTTGGTGCGAATGTTATTGGGTAATCAAGCAATTCTATTGTTGAGATGAATGAGGTTGAGCTTGATTGAAAAAAGGTTGAGGCTTGAAGAGCTATTTGTGTTATTTCAATCTGCCATTTTTTCCTTTAATATCAGATATTTGCGCTGGAGTGGTTAGGGGTACCGGCAGCATTACCATGCCATCCTTGAGTCGAGAACTGGTTTTCTTAATACTACAGTTCTTGGATGAGGAGAAGTTCAAGGAGACAGTCCACAAGTTTTGTTCATTTATTGTAAGACGAAGTCATTCATTTCTTGATTCCTGTTTCTACTGTTGTTGAAAATGAACGAGCTGATGAAATAGAATAAAGCATTTTATTATTTCTTTTTTGTCGTCAATATGCTTGGGAGGGAGGTTTGTGAGACTGAATTACAACTGAATGTTATTCTTCTATATGATTTGGGGAATGGTGAAAGTGTGAAAAGGACTGTGTACAAACTGTCACTCTTCCTAGAAAGAAAAGAAAAATAAAGATTTGCCATTTTCTGAAGATGGATTTAATTAACATGAAGAGTTTGTACAATACTTGTTGATTGAAGGAATTTATTAAATGACTCTATTAGTTTAAATATGAAGACTCTTGGCATGCTTGCTTCTGAGTTTATGGTAGAGTAACATGTAATATTATTCAGGTTGGAACAAGAGTCTGGATTCTTCAATATGAAATATTTTGAAGATCAAGTTCAAGCAGGAGAATGGAAAGAAGTTGAACGATACCTGAGTGGGTTCACAAAGGTTGAGGATAACCGCTATTCAATGAAGATTTTCTTTGAAATACGAAAGCAAAAGTATCTTGAAGCTCTTGATAAGCAAGATTTTATGTCAGAGAGCAGGGAGTTGTTGAGTTATGATAAAATCTGAGAAGTTATGATTATTCCTTACCTTACTATGCAGGAATGACAGAGCAAAAGCTGTTGATATTCTTGTCAAGGATCTTAAGGGGTTTGCCTCTTTCAATGAAGATCTCTTCAAGGAGATTACCCAGTTATTAATTCTTGAGAATTTTAGGTAATCAGATTCAGCATTTGAGCCATACAATACTTTCAGTTTCTTTGTGCCTTTTGAATTATCTTGTGGCATTGTTCTAGGCAGAATGAGCAGCTTTCCAAATATGGGGACACTAAGTCTGCACGAAACGTTATGCTGGTTGAACTGAAAAAGCTCATAGAAGCAAATCCATTGTTCCGTGATAAGCTCACATTTCCAGCATTCAAAGCTTCAAGATTGCGCACGCTGATTAATCAGAGGTTATGCTGCTATCTATGTACCACTAATCTGATTATAATTAGATGTAAATATGCAGGATACATCTTCACGTGTCTCTGTCTTGTATTAAGTGGCATTGCTGTAAATGTTGATTTTGAATGTTAAATTACTGATTTAAGGTTTTAGGGAAGTAGAGAGTATTTGTTTTTCTCATGGTTCCTGCTTTCCTTAGTAGGATATTTTCACTGAACTTTGTTTCTTTCTGCAGGCTTAATTGGCAGCATCAACTTTGTAAGAACCCCGGCCAAATCCTGATATTAAAACCCATTTCACTGATCATACTTGTTCGTCTAGTAATGGAGCTTGTGCTCCCCCACCTTCTAATAGTCTCCTTGCTGGACCTGTACCTAAACCTGGGACTTTTCTGCCTCTTGGAGCCCATGGCGTAAGTTAATGATCTTCTTTATATCCAGAATTGGCTTATGCCTTTTGTTTACCTTGTCACTATTCCAAACTGTCTTCCTGCAGCCATTCAAACTAGTTGTTTCACCTTCTCCAAGTGCCATTGCAGGGTGGATGTCTAGTGCTAACCATTCTGTACCACATGCTGCTGTTGTAGCAGGTCCTCCAGCTATTGTTCAGGCACCTGGTGCAGGTCAGTTTTCAAATTATAACTGCTGGTACTGGATGATGTTTTGGGTTAATAGACTATGATTACCTCATGCAATGTTTTTAGCCACCTTTCTGAAACATCCAAGGACTCCACCTGGTGCTTCAGCAATGGACTATCAACTGCTGATTCAGAGCATTTAATGAAACGGCTTCATGTTGGCCAATCTGACGAGGTTTGTATAAATGAAGAAGTTTTGGCATGTTTTGCATGATTATGATCTGTTTATTTGATTCCTTGACGGGTGCAGTTTTTCTAGTGACCATACATGCTGATACAAATATTTTTCTAGGTTTCCTTTTCTGGTTCTACTCATTCTCCTAATATTTACTCGCCAGATGACCTTCCTAAAACTGTTGCACGTAACCTGAGCCAAGGATCTAATGTTATGAGTTTGGACTTCCATCCTCAGCAACAGACTGTTCTTCTAGGTTGATTCTTCAGAGACCTTTTTTTACTTGCATTAAGCTTACTCATGTGAAGTTACCTGCCGCATTTCTGAATTAACCAAATTTCATATATTAATTAAGATTGTTTATGATAGCCTCTCATTATCCTGAGCTTTAAGTATTTTGCTGGCTATTCTACCTGGTAGTTGGAACAAATGTTGGTGACATTAGCATATGGGAAGTTGGTTCCCGAGAGAGGTTGGCTAATAAAAATTTCAAAGTTTGGGATATCTCGGCCTGTTCAATGCAGTTTCAGGTCTGTATTTATGATACTTTAACCTGTCGCTCCTTGACTAAGGCGCTTAAATTTTAAACTAGTTATTGTCTATTAATTTTCCAAATTTGTCTCGTAACATTACAAAAACCTTAAATGACTCTAGACAACTCTGGTGAAAGATGCTACTGTATCTGTGAACCAATGCATTTGGGCCCAGATGGATCTATACTTGGTATTTCTCAATTTTTCCATTTGACTTTGTCAAAATTCATTAATTTTATTTAAAACACATATCAAATTCTGTTGTCATTTGGTTTATTAGGTGTTGCTTTTTCCAAGCACATTGTTCAGATACATAACTACAATCCAGCAGGCGAATTGAGACAGCACTTGGAGGTATGTTGGTTTTAAACTGTTTGCTGTGTCTGTTTGTGAGTGGTAACTGTACAAATGTCTGATTGCTGATTACTGCTTGGGTTTTTTAGATTGATGCTCATATTGGCCGTGTAAATGACATTGCTTTTGCTCATCCTAACAAGCAACTGTGTGTAGTGACTTGTGGGGATGACATGATGATCAAGGTACTAATCTTCCATGAACATCTTAGTGTGGTTTTATTTTATCTATTTTCATGGATCTATCTATGACAGGTTTGGGATGCAGTTGCTGGTCGCAGGCTGTATATATTTGAAGGCCATGAAGCTCCTGTATGTTCTCTCTGCCCTCATTATAAAGAGAATATCCGGGTAAGACCTTGAGGGTGCTATGCTTCCTGTTTTATTCTTTTACAAGGCAGTGTTTCTGACATCTGAAATAATTTCTGGGTCATCTTGAAGTGTGGCCGTGAAAAAGAAGGTTCATATCTTGATTATTTGAGTCCTTTGACATGACATCATCATAATAAATCAGTGGTTGTTTGCAGTTTATTTTCTCTACAGCTATTGATGAAAAGATAAAAGCATGGCTTTATGATTGCTTGGGGTCTAGGGTTGATTATGATGCTCCTGGACTTTGGTGCACAACAATGGCATATAGTGCTGATGGAACCAGGCAATTTCAGAAGCTCTATGCTGTTTAATCGATTCCAATTTGATGGTCATAATCTACTTACACTTGGTGTATATTTCTTACCAATAGATGTGACTTCATCTTACACTATTTTTTCTTTTTGGGGTTGAAAGTATAACACGTTTTCTGCTTCTTTCAATTACAGTTGCTTTTATGATAGTTTTAGTTATTGCTACTGTCTCTGTAGACTATGCTGTCACCATACGTGCTTTTGGCATAGGATGCACTGTCATCAAGTCTGATAACATTTGAACATTATCAGGTCCTTACCATTATTAACAAAACAAGTTCTTAAATATTCTTCTAAAACTTCTGGAAAAGCTGTGTATTTTGAGATGCCTAATTTGTTGAACTTTCTAATAATAAGGAAATAGGTTCTTTCCAATTCTTGTAAATTCATATGGTGGTATAATTCTTTGGCAATGGCATCAAAGACAATTTAGATGCAAGTTATTTCTGCTTAAATATTCGTGTAACCCTCGAGATGTTCTTCTGAAGCCAAAATCTATCATGGTGAAAATTAGCACTTTTGCATACTTTTTCCTTGGAAAGCATTGGCGGTTTCTGTTCTCTATGACTTTTTTATTTTCCTTTTTTGATTTCTCCAAAGTTGCTTCATCAATCTGCTATTGCTTCAGATTATTCTCTTGTGGGACGAGCAAAGAAGGTGAATCCCACCTTGTTGAATGGAATGAGAGTGAAGGAGCTGTCAAGAGGACATACTCTGGTTTTAGGAAACGGTCTTTGGGTGTGGTGCAATTTGATACAATAAGGAATCGTTTCTTAGCTGCTGGTGATGAGTTTCAGATTAAGTTTTGGGACATGGATAATAACAACATGATTACTTTCACCAATGCTGATGGGGGATTGCCTGTTAGTATCTCTTTGAAAACAACCATTTTTTGTTGATATGCCTTTTACTGCAACTTGGAAAATTCAAAATCAATGATAAGTCATTGCAGGCAAGTCCTAGACTGCGATTCAACAAAGAAGGATCATTGCTTGCTGTTACAACAAGGGAAAATGGAATCAAAATTGAAAACTAAGAAAAAAAGGGAGAGAAAATACTCTTCTTCATATCTTTGGACTACATAATATACAAATATATATATATATAAGTGTAACCTAATTTAGATCCTAAAATCATGCTAATCTAAATCAATCTAGTACCTAATTAATCTATGATATTATAATCAAATCTTTTCTAATATTTACAATATTAAATCTTTCCATAATATCAGATCACATATCTTCAACACTCCTCCTCAAGATGGAGTATAGATGTTAATCATGCCCATCTTGTCACAAATGTAATCAATTCTCAGACCATTTAGAGGTTTAGTGAAAATATCAGCTAACTGCTCTCCAGTTCTCACATGACTGGTGCAAAAATAGTTTTGCATCTTCTCATAGCCAAGCCACCTTTTTTTTCTCCATCAATGGGTGGGTCATCAGTGAGATGATCATCTCTATCGATGCTGCGCAGATATATCCGAATAGTTTTACTCCAATTCAAAAAATTTTTTCCACTCAATTGTGTTCAGTAATTTTTGATGTTGTAGGAATAACATCAGAAATTACTGTTTTCATCTCTCTACTACTACCTTTCATATCTGCCATTATAATTCACACAAGAAAGACCTAAAAGTGACTCAATAGGGTCATGTCAAAAGACAAACTGATAACAGAGATTCACACAAGAAAGACCTAAAAGTGACTCAATAGGGTCACGTCAAAAAACAAACTAATAACAGAGCCTGAAACTCTGATACCATGAAAACTAAGGAAAAAGGGAGAAAAAAAACTCTTCTTCATATCTTTGGACAACACAATATACAGATATATATACACAAGTATAACCTAATTTAGATCCTAAAATCATGCTAATCTAAATCAATCTACTACCTAATTAATATATGATATTATAATCGTATGATACCTAATTAATATATGATACTATAATCAATCTTTCCTAATATTTACAATATCAAATCTTTGCGTAATATCAGATGACATATCTTCAACAAAAATATTGGTGAGTACAGATGGACAATACTTGTTGAGGATGCTGGAGAGCAGAACATTCGAGGGATCTAGGGCTTTCTCTGAACAAGTCAATGTTAAAGTATCTGCATTTCTCTTTTTATTTGTTTTTTTTTTTGCAGAAGGGCATCACATGATTATTTCTTTGCATTGTTTTCTGCAGCCTGCAATTGCTGGTTCTTTGGGCCCTATTGGTCATGTTGCTGCCCCTGTTGCTCCAATCCTCGAACGAACCGACAGAATTCAACAGTCATTATCCATTGGAAATCTTGTATTCTGTTTTTCCCATTTTATTGTCTTTAAAAACTTTTGTCTTTTGATTGATGATTTCTGTCTGTACATCCATCTTCAATGTTGTTGCTGTGCTCTGTTTGGCTCACTCATTGATCTGACTCATTTACAGCCTGCCATGGAGGGAAGCACAATAGCCGATGTCAAACCAAGGATTTCAGATAATGCTGATAGAATTAAATGCTGGAAGTTTTCTGATATAGCTGAGGCAAATCAACTCAAGACTCTAAGGTTGCCTGACCCTCTGGCTGCTAGCAAGGTATATGCATGGTACATGGGTGGGATCCTCACTTTTATTGAAATAATTTTCGTTTTCTTGGGAAAGCATTCATTGTAGGACAGAATTTGATTGCATAAGTCAACTTAACCCAGCCAGTGAACAGCATAGCATATCCCACTTCCTGTTTTATGTAACATGTCCCAGCAACAATTTAGAGCCTCCCAACCAGTTACCCTATAGCCAGTTGCCCATTTCGCTAGCTGCATTCAAGCCACCATAATGACCAAACCTCTCAATCACAGATTATCTCCTTTCTAAAACCTTAAACCTCTTCCAATGGCATAAGGATGAGAAAAGTGGAGAGAGAAAGAGAGAGATAGAGAGAGAGAGGCTGAGTTAAGGTTATTGATGTATATGCATTCAGGTCCCCTGATGAAAATGTATTTATTGTGCCTGCTGTTGGTGTGATATCATGATGTTCTAAAAAGTTGAATGAGGTATTAAAGTGCTGCAATCGGAAGTTGAGGGGGTATCTGTAACTAGTGTGTAAGTCTCAGTGTCAAATGCAATTATCCTATTTTATAGAATTTCTTGCTGTGTGTAATGCTTTGAAAGTTCTTTATCAACGGATACCCTTGGTACTTTTATTTAGCAAGAAATATGGGAATTGCAGATTTTGCGTTTGCTTTACACAAATTCTGGTCTTGCTCTATTGGCGTTGGGCTCTAGTGCTCTTCATAGGCTCTGGAAATGGCAGCGCAGTGAACGGAATCCTTCAGGAAAGGTTGGATTTTCAGCATGTTGTTTCCATTTCTGTTCTCTTTTCCTTCGGTTTAACCTTATCTGATATATCCCATTTTTTGTATTTTTTTTTCTTTCCATGTTGTATGTTCTGTGCATATCAGTCTACTGCATCCATCATTCCTCAGATGTGGCAGCCAAGTAGCAGGGCTCTCATGTCTAATGATCTAAGTGAAGCCAAACTAGCAGAAGAGTCACCCTCATGCATTACTTTATCAAAGAATGACTCTTACGTCATGTCTGGATCTGGTGGCAAGGTCTCTTTGTTCAATATGATGGCGTTTAAGGTCTGTTGTTACCCTCTGCACCTAATGCCATTATGTTATGGGTCAAAGTCCTCTTTTGCTGATCTGTCATTTTTTATGCTCGGATTGTGTTTTCATTGTGCCCGTTGTTTGCGTTGTCTGACCTTTGCACGACCTCTGCTGATGGTTTAAGATGACAAATCCAATCCCTTGAATTTTGGTCAGGTCATGACTACTTTCATGCCTCCACCTCCAGCAGCTACCTACTTGGCATTCCATCCTCAGGACAACAATATTATTGCCATAGGAATGGAAGATTCCACTATACAAATATACAATGTCAGAGTTGATGAGGTAGATTTTCTTGTCATCCCTTTGGATCTGTGAATATTATCCTATTCCAAAGTGCTGATCATGTTGCTTATTTAAAGAAATTGTTTGTTTAGCACTTCAATGGCTTTCAGATAAAGATAACGATGCTGCCGCAGGATGTTTTGAAAATGAAAGTTTTTATGCATGATTTTTGTTGCAATCACTTGACCAATTCTCTTTATCTACCTCAGAGTACATCTTTTGTTGTTGAGACAGCCCCTTTGAAGTCCCTAAACCTTCCACAATAGGTCAATTGTGGATTATATTATACCAGTTTGAGCCTCATAGTATTATTTCGTGCTTTGTTATCTTGAATGTGGCATCATTTGGAGGCCCAAATCACCTATAATTTCTAAATGTCCTCAAATTTAAGACTAAATAGGAAATTAGGAAGGAAAACTTAAAATCTTGTATTCTGTTTGGTGATAGTCAGATTCTGGAGTAGGGGCAAGAGCCTGATTTATTAAATGATTATGGAAAACTTAGTCTTTTTTTTGTGAAAACTCCAACCAATGTTTATTTGGGTCCTTCCTGCACATTTCCATAGTAGTTTTCCTGTTTTCTTGCATCTGTAATGCGTGATATACCCTAATTTCTTCTTGTGCATTACATGCCTTTGTATTCATTTAAAGGGAAGATGTTGTGAAATATGTGCATATGATCTTTCTTTAAATCTACTTTTTCCTAGATTGACTGGTAAAAGGGACTAAGAAGAAGGTTACTTTCTATTTTGTTAGTGTATACTTAGCTTTCAGAATTAAGAAGCCTACAGATCTGTTGATTACGATCTTTTTTGTATATGGTGGCTGCTTCACTATCGGCTTGTATGTCTTCTTTTCCCCCTGCTTGAGATGGAACTATCAGCTGTTTTTCTTTTTCACCCTTGGTTTGAATTATAGGTTAAAACCAAGCTTAAGGGGACCATAAACAAATCACTGGGCTTGCTTTCTCCCAGAACTTGAATGTATTGGTATCATCTGGAGCTGATGCCAGGCAAGTGCTTTTTTTTTTTTTTCCAAGTCTAGATTGAAATTATCTCCTTTATCATCTGTAAAAATGTTAAGGAGCTAACTGCTCATGATTGGTGCACCATATTGCTTGCAGCTATGTATCTGGAACATTGATGGTTGGGAGAAGAAGAAAATGAAAGCTATACAAGCACCACCAGGTCATACTTCACCCCTAATTGGAGAAACTAAAGTTCAGTTCCACAATGATCAATGTCATCTGCTGGTCAGTCATGAAAGTCAGATTGCTGTTTATGACATTCAACTTGAGTGTTTGAATTCGGTGAGTATCTGCTTTATTCTAAGGGAATTTATTAGTTGGTTTAATTAGTACAGTTTTTAATCAAAATTCAAAGAGTATACTTGCTATATGTGTTAAGAATCAGAGAGATTTAGTTCTTTGGATTCAGTCTGGCTTGAAACTCTAGATTGTCCTCTGATATGACTTTCTTCCCATTATGAAAATCAATTTTGCAAGGATTCAAGCATAACACATCATGTGTTTGGGTTAACCATGGATGTGATTTTCTCCTTCTTTCCCTCATCGGTTATGTTTCTACCAAGGACCAGAAGAAGGTTGAAAGAGGGAAGAGAGACAATAACTTTATCTCCCATTTTGTTTTTCCAGATTAATTCAGTGAATGGCATTTAGCGGCCTTCAAATTTTCGTTCCCATGTCTGCTTGTATAGCATCTTCGCATCTTCTTTCTCCCAAATTATTGAGAATGGTGCTTTAGATCGTTACTTGGTAAATATGAAAACTCTTCCATGCAGCAAAAATTTCCATAATTTTGTTCCCTGGTATGTTATGAGGCTCAATGGAGTGGTCTTCTAGTAATGTTATCCCTTCCTCTTTAGAGGTCTTTCGAAGTGTTTGCTCTGAGGACCTCCTTCTTGTCATGATTTTAACTGTTTATTCTATCGCAGCGGTATCCACGAGACGCACTTTCTACCTCCATTTCAAGTGCAATATACTCTTGTGATGGCCTGTTTGTCTACACGGGATTTTTGGATGGTGCAATTGGAATCTTTGATGCTGATAGCTTGAGGCTCCGTTGTTGAATAGCACCGTCGGCTTACATGCCTTCATCAATTGTCAGGTATTGAAGTGATGATACTCATCTGACTTTTCAATAAAGAAGCTGGTCATGCTTCATAGTTCTTTAAGTTTCTGCCATGGTCTGAGACAGTCAAACAGGTTCAGGATGTACCATGGTCAAAAATCTCTCTTTGCTAGCACAGGTGTCTCTCTGTGTGGATCCTGACTTTGTTTTTTCTAGTGATTCACATGTGTATCTGACTGGTAGACTGAAACGAGTCAATCATGTAGCATGCAGTTGCGTGCTTTTGAGGACATCCTATTGCATCAAGTATACAATTTGGAATTTCCTTGGCATTTTCGTTGTCTTTAGAACTAATCTAAAATACAAGAGTAGATCGTTAATTGAAAAGGTTCAAAATTTCTAAAGCAATTTTCTGTAACTCTTGTTTTGTTCATTTTGAGCCGTGGTGCAGAAATTTTGTGGCTAAATATGCTTTTGCATTGACATTCAGTTCATAAAATTGCTAATCTCATCTTGAACTTTAAGTGGTGCGTTTCTATGGATCTGACGTGAGTTATCAAATGTGGCAGCAGCAGTAGTGCTTTTCCCATGGTGATTGCAGCACATCCAGTTGATCCCCGCCAATTTGCTCTTGGTATGAGTGATGGTGCTGTTCATGTAATCGAGCCATCGGATACAGAGCCAAAATGGGGTAGTTTGAGCTCTCAGGATAACGGAACTCTGCCGACTAATCCCTCAAGTTCTGCACTAAATAGTCAGCCATTTGAAACGCCTCCTAGGTGACATTTTGCACCAGTTATTGTTTTGGTAGGATGGAGATACTTGTTTGCTTGCCTTTCGCCCAGATAGTTAAACTGTAAAGTTAAGTTCCTTGTCCCTCCTAGTGAGCCAAATGTTGAAAGGCAAAGATACATTTTTTTTAATTTATTAGTTGTTTGCTTTTGAGACCTGCAAGGTTTCTTGATTTTTGACCAATGATTCATTTGCAAATTTCAACAGTTAGTCCTGGTCCAATCACTCTCTCCCTAATGCAACTATTGAAGAAACTTAGGTCACTGCTAGAAAGATCAAAAGAGATTGTTAACATAGTTGCCATTTCTGCCTTGGGCATTTAAAGACTTTTTTAAAGACACTGTTGCTATTTTATACCATTTGCTTCTCCCCTTTTACGCCATGGTCCCAATTGTTTGCATCCATAAGAAGAGGAAGGTGCGAATGCTGAAAATTGCAATGATTTGAATTTCCAAACTTCCAACTTTCACATCGAGAATTTTCCAATCATATCAATTAAGAATTCTAATTTTGCAACTTCACTGCATAGGTACATATCTACTTTGAAAAATTTTATTTTGGTTCAAGTCAATTGCTTGATATACCTAGTAATTGGTTAACATATCTAAAATTCATATAACCTATCATGTATATACACATATTAATAATTATTATTCTCTTTTGCATTCATATGTTTTCCCTATTTAATCTTACCTACACTTTCTTGTATTTATTTATTTTACATAATTAATCTTACATTTTCAAGTGTGGATGGTCTAAAGTAATAGCATTATGAAAAAAAAAAAACTAGAACTGCAATGAAATCCCAAATATCTTCTTCATTTAATCCAAGCTCTAGCAAATGACTAAATTCATATCAACTAGGCATGGTATCAATTAGGTACTAGTGTTGGTCTTCTCCACACTTACAAGACAGTACACAAATACTTTATTACGTAATACATGAATATATTAATTGTATTGCCGAATCCTAATTTTGTACCTAATCGTCCGAGATGTACCTAGTTAGGTGCCATATCACATAAGTAGGTCCGGGATGTGCTTAATTTTGTGCCATTCCACTCCTCCCCTTTCACACCGTGGTTCCAGTAGGTCGCATTCATCTATAGTCAAAATTTGGAGTGTCGTCATCATTTGAATGCTGGATGGAAGTGTTTCAAGCTTCGGACAAAGGGATAGTGTCAGGTCCTGAAGAGAAGTGAGGTGGTCTCCAAACCAGTCTGGCAATGAAGTTAGATTGGGAAAATCAATCAGCTCCAGTACTTGTAGCGTGGCTAAATGTTTGACTTCCTCTGGCAGAGCTGTCGCGTATGACCCCTGGATGCGTAGACGAGTCAGGGATCTGAGGGCTTTAGTCCCCATTGAGAGACTCACCAAATTAGAGCAGTCTTCGATATGGAGTTCCTGCAAAGAAGCAAGGCCTCGCAATCCTTCTTCTGGCAGAGACTCCAGCTTGGGAGAGTTCTGGATGGTCAATTCCTTCAAAGCCGTGAGGCTAGCCAAGCTTCTGGGTAAGGCTCGCAGATCCTTCGTCTCCCTAATTTCCAGGGATTCAAGAAGACTAAGATTTTGCAGCATCTCTTCTGGAAAACAACTCAATCCTTTAATCCACTCAATTTTAAGGGAATTAAGACTAGTGAGATTGGAGATTGAAGCCCATGCCATGTTCGGGCAGCCGTTGACGCGTAGCTCCTTCAGGGAAGGCATACGTGGCAATGGCAATGTCAACGTTGGGCAACCGCCAAAAGACAAGGATTGAAGTTGAGAGAATACTCCTGGAGTACTAGCAGTACCTTGGACCTCTCTTCCTAACATTCCTTTTAGGTTGGGCATCTTCCATAATTGCAGTGTTTTCAATGATGGGGACGTTGCAGCAGCAGCGGTAGTACTTTCTGGGCCCCAACTATGTACTCCGTTGCACCGTTGTACACATGAACATTTGTTACAGTTGAAATCCAAGATGGAAATGATGAAGAACCTTTGAAGCCTATCATGTGCAGCGATTGAAGGTTGGGGCAGGGTTTGAGGCTTCGAGCACTTCCTCATCATTGTACTGTTGAAACATTCTTTCGGAATCCCATTCCAAATTCAACCAGCGGACTCCCTGTTTTTTAATTAAGCAAGCTTCTTCTGCATGCTTTTTGTGTTTAACCCTCTCAAGGTGCCTAATTAATAGCCATCCTTCAAGCATATTTAAGTCTCGCAACTCACTCAGTTGGAAGCCTCTTTTGCCACCCAGGACGACTATACTCAACGTCCGTAGGCAAGTCAGCTTCCCAATTCCACTTGGTATGTGTTTCAAATGCCAGCACCCCTGTAGGCAAAGATGTCGCAGATTTCTGAGGAATCTCATGCCTTTGGGCAGGCACCGAAGTTCGCGACAACCATTCAGGTTTAAAATTTGCAAATTCCACAAGTCACAAATTGAATTGGGTAGTTCAACAATTAAAGAACTTGAAAGATCTAGATGCCTTAAATGTTTCAGTTTGCTTATTGCAGGTGGCAGCTCTGTAAACTTCGTAAGGTTTACTCTCCACCACGGTGACCTTACAGTGAGCGCCTCAGGGAACCACATTTTGACAAGAAAGAAGAAAACTGGTCAATGCCTGTGATTGTAATAGGAAAAGCCACTGTTAGCTGATCATCTGGCATACCAAATATCATGGTTCTGTTTGACTCTGTTCCACCGTGTTTAGCCTCCATTACTGATCGAGCCAGATCATGGACAAGGTCATGCATCTTAAAAGTGAGGGCACTGCCAAATTCATCTTTCTCTATGGCTTGGAACAGTGATCTATGATGTAGTTCAGTCACCGCAGCAGCACCAACATCTTCCACTTCCATCGTTCCATTAGATGAAATCAATCCATTTGCCATCCACAAATGTATTACCTCTTCTTTTTTAATTTTAGATCCCTTGGGAAATACTGCACAATATGCAAAACAACCTCTCAACTCTACCGGAAGATTAAGGTAGCTCAATCTCAACGCGGGCAAGATATCTGTTGTATCTTGAGGTATGTTCCAAAGCTCACTACATTTCACAAAGTTCCATTCGGCTTCTTCTTTTCAACCAAAAATAGTGAATGAAAAAAAATAAAAGAAATTCAGCACTCGTTTTGGAGAGAATAAATACTCTGGCAACAATTGATCCATTGAATCTGCAAAAAAATAAACTTACTTTAAGTTTGAGGCGGAAAAAAAAACAAAATTCAGCACTGAGCCAAAAGAGGAAAAAAGAAAGAAAGAAAGAAACCATTGAGAGTAGCTGATCTGTTAAATTTGGAAAAATTCCTAGTATATCGTGAAGCTACATAATTACTCAAAGTAAAGTTTAAGAAAAAAATATTCGGAGAAAGATAATAATTTGGACCAATGGCTTTTTGGCAACGGAGATGGTCTATCGATAAGAAAGGAGAGTGAAATTGCCAATGAGCTTCCTAGCCGTGTGGGGGTACAATTATTGAATGTGGCGGACCCATAGAATAGAATTTTTACAAGCAAAAAATGGCAAAAAAAAAAGTGGAGTGAAATTACTGCATGACTTTCCAGGTGTCTAGGAATAAACTTTTGAACATGGGATGCACATTGCACCGCACTGTTTCGAGTGTTTTACCCTTCTTATCAGTTTCAAGAAAAACACATGGAAGCCCCCTTTTTACATAATAATATTTAGCTTGTATTATAAATATATTTTTTATATTTTTAATAATTTTTTATCTTATATAAATAACATCATAAAAGATGCTATAGTAATTATTCTAAATAATACTCTATCTAAACAAATCCATTTATATTTTAACCAAAAAAAAAGCGTATGACAAAAAGAAAAAGAAAAAGAAATTCAGCACTCACGTTGGAGAGCGTGAATACTCTGGCAACAGTTGATCTGTTGAATCTGTAGAAATTTCCTTTATATAGTGAGGCTAGTTGATAAAAGGGAAAAAAACAAACTTGAAGTTCAAGGAAAGGGAACAAATCTCAGCACTTGCTTGAGAGAAAATGAAGCTTCTGGCAATAGCTGAGCGGATGAATATGAGAAAATTACCAGTATATCGTGAACCTAACCAGTAAAATCCAAGTTTGATAAAAGAGAACACAGGGGAGGAAGATGATAATTTGATTCAAAATTGAAACAATTCAGTATGTGCAAGACTTTCAGCAAGGAAGATGGAGTATTATAGAGGAGAAAGTAGGAGCAGTACTGTTATTGATAAGAAAGTGGAGTGAAATTGAACGTGACTTTCCTGGTTGGTTAGTAGTAGAATTATTCACCGTGGAACTTGCAAGTTAACTTTCAATGTACCAATTGAAAAAATGAAGGTTGATGATTAGCATGCTTCTTTTGTTTTTGCTTATACAGTAAGCCTTTTCACAAGATTATTTTAAGTTGAAAATAAAGATACTAAAATAAAATTAGGAGAAACCCACAAGATGAAATGAAGTTAAAGATGGAGATGTTAAAATAACTTCTAGGACTTGTTAAATTAACTCATACTCAAAAATCTTACAAATAATATAGAATTTGGGGCATTTTCTGGCGATCTTATAATAATTGAAAAATTGGCGCTAGATTACGATTCAAGAACATTTTTAATTTTTTTCCTTTCCCAAAAGTAAATGATTTTTTTTCTTTATTATTTGTTTTGTGGAGAATTTGAAATTGATCAGATTTTGACTACTTTAGCATTTTTTATTATAGTAATTTCTGCTGAGCCTTTATCAAATGCCCCGAAAATGCTATGAGGTGCTCAGAAATGGTCGAAGTAGTTGAATAGGAGGATCCCGAAGGCACCCCTCTCTTTCAAGAGGGTTCGCAGCATTTCAAACCCTGGCTATTCGTAGAAGTGGTATAGTATTAACATGCAAGGCTTTCTGGGCAATAGAGATGGCCTATTATTGAAGAGAAAGTAGTAGGTGTGTGTTGATACGGAAGTAGATTTGTGAAAGCGCTTGTATATGGTTGCAGACGAATCGAACAGCTCGCGAGTTCGACTGGAGCTAAGTCAACATCGAGTTCGAGCTGACCAAGTCGAATTTGAATTCGAAAATACTAAATTTGTTAACTTGCTAGCCGGCTCGAGTTTGATTATATATTTATTTTTTATTTTTTATTTTAATAATAAAATTACATATATATCCCTAATATTTTATTGTTTGTTAAGATAAATTATTATTTTATTTATTTTTTAAAAATAAAATAATTATTTTCTTCATTTTTTAAGCTTGAGCTATACATTTTGAACTCGTCGAATTCAAGTTTCATAAATCTAGGTTAAGACTCGACTCGATTATACCAAAACTCGACTTGATTTGTCTCGATTCATTTACACTCCTGTGCTCGTCAGTTTCCTAGCCGTGCAGTAGCACAATTATTGAATGTGGTGGACCTATAGATTAGAATTTTGGAGGCTGATTAGTTTCCAAAGCACTGTTATTACACAAAATACAACCTTGAGTTGTGGAAGGAGTATTCTTTCAAGAGGCATTGTGAAGCTCTATACAGGTTAATTGATAGCAATGTTAGGCAGTGGGGAGAATAGCATATAAAATTGTGTCGAAAAGAGCAAATTATGTTAGTTTTGTGGGTTGTTATCCGATAAATTCACGATAGTTTGGATTTTAAAAGATTACCAGATTTCTTATGTTCTATTTTTGGCTGATTCTTTTTCAGAATGGAGTGAAACAAATGACAGTACGCACTTGTCAAAGATATGCACATCATATTATGAAAATTCTTTCTTTTGGATAATTTGGTAGATTTTGGTGTTTTTGATTTTGGAGGGGAGAGTGCACTATGGAATGTCTCTGAAGCTCATATCAATTGCCTTCATGTGGGGATTGCTTTCTAAGTAGTGTATAGTAACATATGCTAGTATATGTGCATAACTTACGTTTAGTATCTTATCTATTGGTATTAGCCATAAGTTTCTTTTATTCATCTGCAAGGCTATGAGAAAGAAATAGCAGAGGTAGAAAATAGTGGTATTAGTGAATAGAAGAGTGAAAGTGAAGATATGCTGCAAGGGATTTCTTTTATTCCTTGTGTGATTGTCATGAGTTCTTGTTCGTTCTACACAATTGGAAGATGTGCAACGAGGGATTGCTATGCTCGAAGGTGATTTCTCAGATTTTACATTCTTATTTTTAACCTGTCAATGTCCAAGTGCTCTAAAATCTTTTTTTTTTTCGTTTGTTTAACATCAAAATCTGGTTCTTTGCATAATTTGTGTCCCTTTTTTCCCCCCTAAACACTAAATCTTATCGAATATTTTCAGCATCTTGCAAATAGTTGTCGTTCCTTGTGTTGCTCTGTTACTTTATGCATGTTCAGTCACATTCAACTTACAAAACGAAGCAGACAGAACAACTTTATACCTTATATTTTGATCCATGTTTAGTTCTCTTAACCTCCTCTTCTTATTATTATTTTTTTAAACTCTTTTTCCAAAAAAATTTTAAACTATTTAGGCATTGCAGCATAATGTGTCCAGTTTCTATGTAGTACTATGATGGATTGTGATGATTTATCCATCTCCACCTCTTTTTTTGGGAACTTGGACTGATGTTGTGGTTTTTTACATCTTGGTTTGTTGTATTTGCTTTTCCTTGGGATGATTTTTTCAAAAAATGGCTGTTTAGTGTTTTTTGCTTGGTTTTCTCTTCTGTGCATGCAAAGTTGTTTTCTTTATTTTTTTTTTCTGCTTTGATTTGTGGTTGTAGGCCTTGAAGAATTGGTTATTTAGTGAGTTATATACTCATTTTCTTCTTTAAATTTCGCTTTAAACTGGAATGCATTTTTCAGTTTCTCTCATAAGCAGAATAACAAATATATGGTAATAGGTGGCTGGCTTAATCAGATGTATAATTTGTATACTAAAGAGCAGAAATTAGCATTGAAATTTCTCTCTTTGATTGTGTCGTGTTGATCTCCTAATCATATTATTTTCAAGTACTTGCTTCTATGAAATGTTGAAGAACAATTTAGAGATGAGTTGATTACAACTCGGATACAAATTACATCTAATTGAATTATATCTAATTGAATTACAACTCGGTTTCAAAATTAACTAAGGTTGTGATTTGATTGTTTGATTTTCCTTGGGCCTATAGTTACATCATTGTCTTAATCTTCTCCAGCTTCTTTTTGTGTTTAGATTTCCAATTTCTTGGACTCTGGCTTCAGAACAAGTAGATTGCTCCTATAATCCTTTTGTGTTCTCCATGAGAAGATCTTTGGTGGTTTGAAACGTTAGTGCATTTTTTTCCCTTGGGAGATTTTTTTTTAAAAAAACTGGTGGTTTAGTGCCTTTTGCTTGGTTTCCTCTTCTTTTTCTCGTTTTCGTGCATGCAAATTTATTATTATTTTTTTTGTAATGTTTTGTTTTGATACTTTGGTGGTTCCAAGGCTTGAAGGATTGGTCATTTGTGATTAATTAGTGGATTCCATAAGAAATAGGTTCTGATTGATGAGAATCGAATTTTCATTGCAGTTTTGAATTTTTTACCTCAAATTTTTGGGTTTAATTGCTTTTGGTGTTTGACAATATGATATATGAAGGAAATTTTGTGCTTGTTGTCTCTTGATTTTGTATAAAATGGAAATTCTTTGTGTGTCTATTTTTCTATTGAAGGAATAGAATTTGGATTGTGAAAAATGATGTTCTTAATGGTTGTCATGGTCTTGTGCATATTTTACATTGTGGTACTGATATTTTGCAATGGAGTCAAGAGATTAATTTACATTGTGGGGTATATTGGCTATTCATACTTATGCGGTTTATGATTATCCTTGTGATTTTTTGCTACAGAATGTTGAACTGGGTGACGATGTGGTTGAGCAGCTAAGAAGAAGGAATCTGTTATGCTGTGTTAGGCATTCATGTAGTCTGATTAGGAGTGTGACTCAATGTTAAATTGATTATTGTAATCTTTTAATTTGTTCAGCCTTTTTCTAGAGAACAGTTTTAGTAGATATTTTTAGTTAAATGTGTAGTTATCCTTGTTATAAAGAACTCAACCATAGATATTTTGTAGTAGCTAGGTTGTTGATTAAT